AACATAGGGGGTCAGGTTGGTCTCATCGAGCTGTAGCATTGAGAACAAGTGGGTATACATGATATCCACTGAACTCCCTCTGCCGACCAGAATGCGGCGGACATCGAAGTTTACCATCTGTGCCCGGATCAGTAGGGGAATGGCCGAGTTAGGGGTTCCTTTGGGGAGCTCTTCGAGGTAGTACGTGATCGGGTTGGATCGGCCGTGGAATTTGTTGAGCGTGCTCATTTTGTCGGAGCTGTTGTTCATCAGCTCGTCAAACTTCCTTTTTACCGACCCCACGGAGAGCTTGTTCAGGGCCCCGCCTGAGATGACCATCACCTTGGGGAAGTATTCCCATGGGCTGACGGGGCACACTGGTTTCTCGGGCAACTGATACCCGGTAGGGAGGCCGTGTTCTCTTAACGAAAACTAGTCTTCAGGCCGGCTAATGCTGAGGGCCACCTGTAGTCGGGATTCGTTATCGGGAGGAGGGATGTCCTCGACTCTTTTGGCTTCGGAGGCCTCTTGTCGAGGGGCATCTCCTCCCCTGGTGTATCTCTTCAAGTGTCCATCCTTGATGAGTATTTCGATTGCGTCCTTCAGGTGGATGCAATCCTCCTTCACGTGCCCGTGGCCCCGGTGGAAGTGGCAGTATTTGGAATTGTCCATGTTGGCCTTGGGGTGCCAGTTTGGGAAAATTGACACCTCCCTGGATAAACTCTGAGTTAATGCACTTAGCTAGTATGCGATCGCGGGAAGCAACTAGGGCAGTGTATTCGGTGAAGCGACCTGCGGGGCCCCTCTGCTCACGGGGCTCCCTGGGACGATCGTCTCGTCGTCAATCTCCTCCATGCCAGGAGGCTGACGCTCCTTCTTCTCGGGACCCGCGGGGTGTTTCGCGGTTGCGGGATTCCCGGGCAGCATTAGCGGCCTTGGTTTCCTCGTACCAGATGTAGAGGCAGGCTTTCTCGAGGAAGCCTCGCAGGGTGGTCGGTTGGTGGATCGCCACGGATTCATAGAATTTAGAGTCGCGACGTAGGCCTTGCTCCATAAGGTAGCGTTTCATATCGCCCGAAGTCGTCACCTGGACTGCCTTCCTCTTGAACCTCTCAATGTAGTTTCTGAGCGGTTCATCCGGGGCCTGGATGATTGCGCCTAGGGCGGCCTCCGTTTCACCTCGAAACACCCATTTCACCTCGATTCGAAAAGGGATTTTACCTCGACTTCATAAGCAAGATAACGAAGGGCGACATGAAAACTTATTACTTTATCCCTCGGGTAAAGTTCCACCGAGGGAAAAAGTGGAATTGGTCATCAGTTGATCCTCAACAACAATATTTTTTTAATTTTCAAATTGTGTCACTTTTCCCCTCGGTTAAAATTAATATCCGATGGGTAAAGTCCTATTTATAAAATGTTAGTTTTTATCTATTTTTTCGTTTTAATATGCAAATCATCAAATTTGTTAACAAATTCTAAATCTTCCTCGCCATCATCATCATCAACAACAACAACAACAACAAAAATAAAATCAATAGAATCCTTAAAAATTAAATCTCAACAATGACAACGACAACAACAAAATAATAAATAGAATCGTTAACATTAAATCTCAACAACAACTGCAATAATAAATAAACAAAATCAACAGAGTTATTAAACATTAAATCTCAAAAAAAATTAAACATTTTACTTGTTACAAAAACAACTAACATTAATAAGTTGCTTTCATGCTTTCATAACTAACATTAAACATTTTTAACAAGGAAGTACTAGAGAAGAGATTACATTAAGAAATCAATCTTGAAATATTTTCTTGCTCTTTCAATCCATAGAATGGTGTTGTACTTCATGCAATTGTTTTATTATCATTGTTTTCATTATGTTAAGTTTACATTTCAACACCTTGCATCCAAGATAGATACTTGTGGCATTCACGTTCGTATTGGCTAGTGAGAGTTTCATGCATATCACTAATGTTTTACATGGATTGATGAGTTGGCAATGTTTTGACCATTGTTACTTTATAAATGGACGGCAATGATTCGTTACCTAATTTTTTTTATCAAATTGATTATAAATAAAAAAATAAAATAAAATACGCTACTTTATCCTTTGGTGTCCAACTCAACCAAGGTAATAGGTAATACAAAATTTTGAAAAAAATTAAAAGGTGCTAAAATGTAGTTACTGGGATTCGAAGGCATGTCTTCAATATACTTTATCACTCGATTGTCAGCTAGGGATGACAACGGATACTCATAAGTGCGGGTACTAGTCTCATGTGACCTGCCACGTTTAATAAACATGATATTCATACCCGTCAGACGGGTCTTCATAAATTTTGAGATATTAACGAATATTTACGGATACCCATGAATATTATTATTTAATTTTTTTATAAAAATATAATTAACATTTTTTTATCTATTTAAAAACAAAAATATAATTTCAAATTTAACACATAACAATAATAACAAAAATAAATCAGATGCATTTTATTTATTTTTTTCTCAAATAATATACTAGATTCAACAAAATAATAATAGCTTCATATTCAATAAGATGATGATGATAATAATAATAATAATAATAATAATAATAATAATAATAATAATAATAATAATAATAATAATAATAATAATAATAATAATAATAATAATAATAATAATAATAATAATAATAATAATAATAATAATAATAATAATAATAATAATAATAATTTTATATTTAACAAAATAATCGAAATAAATTGGAGATCAAACAAATTAGAAGTTCAACTTTTTTTTTTGGACGGAATTTCAAAGGAGAAATAAAGTGACACTTTTATAACGTCCAACGTTACCGCGTCTTTGAAACGGAAACAACATCTAATATTCAATCCAGATTAAACATATGTTTCTATAGTAGTGATGATAACCAGTATCTTAGGAATGCTTTTATATATATATATATATATATATATATATATATATATATATATATATATATATATATATATATATATATATATATATATATATATATATATATATATATATATATATATATATATATATATATATATATATATATATATATATATATATATATATATATATATATATATATATATATATATATATATATATATATATATATATATATATATAAAAGTTAAAAAAGTGCTGTAATTTTAAAACACTAATTAGCATTTTTTAAAATTTTTTTATGCCACTGTTTTCCCCATCGTCACCATGTGCGTCATATACTAATGTCTTTGAAATTATTTGATTTTTTTTTATAGTTTTAGTTAGTTTTAAAAACTGGACCGGATCGGCGGTCGGACCGGAAACCGGCATAATAATCAGTCTGGTTTACTAGTTCGATCGTCTGTGTCATCAAACTGATAAAAATCAGGAAAAATTGGATTGGGCCAAAAAAAATCGAGTTTAGAATTGGACCGATTCTAATGCATTTTTTATTTTTTAATTAAAATTTAAATGTAAAAGTTATAAAAATTTAAAAAAAATTGTTTAAAATTAGATTATGTTGCAATTATTTTGTAATTTTGTATTATTTTGTTATGTGTGATATATTTGTTTAAAATTTGAATTTAAATTATAAACTTGTGAATTTATGATATGATATTTTCAAAAAATTTTAAATATTAGTTATATTTTTTTAGAAACTGAATCATTCGGTTCGATCCGTTTTATATCTATATAATGACAGGTCTATTCAACCGAGTTATCCGATTTAATCCGGTTTAGTCATTCAGTTCGACCAATGACCTAGTGGTTCGATCAATAAACCACTGAATTAATACCCTCACCAGTTCAATGACTGGTCCGGTTTTTAAAACACTAATTTTAGTGACCAAATTTATTACTCATAGAGAAGTTTAATCATTTTTGCTTATAGTAACTCCAAATATGGAGTTATTCCTAAAACGGGGATAGCATGCTCTTAAAAGTAATTAATGGCTTAATTGTTTGCATCAACTGTAATCGAATTTCAACTTTATATTGAAACTCAACAACATGCAAGATTGCACATTAGTCAATAAAACTGTGTCATTGTTTGGCTATTAAGGCACTGATGTAAGTTTGCGATTCCCACACTTATTATCACTTGTTTATGCATTAAATATTTCTTTATTTAATAGAAACAATTACCCTTTTTTATTCCTTAATCAAACTATTTTCTTCATCACAAAATAACTACTCATCTATTTGTAAAAAAGTAAATTATTCTATAATAATTAATTTGATTTAATTTTCAATACAACATTAATTATTATTATTTTTACAAATTATAAATTATTTTAACAATTTTGCACAAACTAAAAAGTATAAAAAAATCATTAGCTATGTTATAAAGTTATTTTTATTAAAGATTCTAGAAATAGAAATTAAAATAATTAAAAGAAAAAAGAAAAATAGTACTAGTAAATGATAAGATATAAGATAAACATTAATATTTTATTGATAATGAGAGTTATAATATGAGATAATATTTTTAAAGTGATTTAAACTTTTGAATGATTGAAATATTATCCTATGTATTCTATAATTAATATTACCTGCATTATTTTTTAATTTAATTGTTTTTATTTAAAAATCATCATAAAAATAAATACAGCAATACATGATGATAATACATTTTTAAAATACCATTTTAACTTTTATTTATACATTTTCTCAATCTCAATATAACTCAATAAAGTCTATTATTTTGAAATAAAAAAAAAAGTACTAGATATGATATTTAATAACATCATATTATGCCTATGATATAAAAATTTAAACCAAGACACTAGAAGTAAATGGCATGAAACTAATTGTAGAGTGTGATGATATTATAATTGTGATTAATATTGGAGTGGAATATATACTTCTACACCACCAAAGTGTTACTAAGAAGTAAAAAAATTAACCAAAGTGAGAGATTCAATTAGCCTTAGTCCTAGAACTAAGAAAAAAGCTAGATTTCCAAATCTTACAAAATTGAAAATCCAAAACATAGTGACAACAATTTCAAAACATGCAATTAATTTCACTAAGATTAACTTTCTCTTGACAACCACCATCATCTAGAAGCCATTTCTCAAGCAAAGAGAATGGCATAATTTCACCAACACCAATTTGAGGTTTGCTCTCATCTTGAAAAAGTGTAGTAGAATCTGAATTTGAAGAATCAAAATCCTCATAACCAAACAAAGACTCAAAGTTTTCAGAAATTGTTGATGACCCTTTTTCAATCCCTTCACTAGAAACACTTGTTTCATAATTTTGCATTACTTTTGTGTTATTACCATTTGACCCTTTTGGCTTATTTTTCATCCAACCTTTCAACAACCTAGCTATGTTGTCGGCACTTGAAGCATAACACAAAGATTGTGTTTGTGTTTGTGTTGGTTTTGTTGAACAAAAAGAAGCTTCATTAGAAAAGCTAGATTCAAGAGGTGAAAATAAGTTGGTAGAAGTGCTTTTTTCTGGTGAAAGAGCTTCACTAAGTGCTTTTTTTGCCATGTGAATGTTGGTTTGAAGTCTTCTTTCCCATTGTCCTCTAGCAATTGGTTGAGAAACTGAGAAATCATCATGTCCTAAACATGATTCAGAAGAAGTACTTGTTTCTAATTTCTTGAGCTTTTTCTTCAAATAAGTGTTCCAATAATTTTTTATGTCATTGTCTGTTCTTTGTGGAAGGTATGCAGCTATTGCAGCCCATCTGTACAATTAATCAAACTCATTTAATTTAGCATGTGAAAAAAAGTACTTAAAAGAAAAAGCACTTTTCCTAGATAAACTACTCAAAATAACAACTTTGATGAAAAAAAGTACTTATATTTTACTTTAATAAATATATGTTTGGTTAAAAACATTTTCAACTATAAATTCATAACCGACATCAAAATTTTTGGTGTCTCAGCAATCGTGATGTGAACACGATTTAGGTTATAATTGAAAATTTGAATTGCAGAATCGAGATTTTACAAGTCCATGTAATTTTAATGTGAACGCGATTTTGGTTATGCGACTTCAAGATTTTTTTTATCTATGCGAACATGATGCGAATGCGATTAGGGTTGATTAATTAATGTACCTGTTTCCTAAAAGAGCTTGAAGATGGATAATCATTTTCTCTTCTTGATCACTGAAATTACCCCTTTTGATCCCTGGCCTTAGATAATTTGTCCATCTAAGTCTGCAACTCTTGCTACATCTTAACAAACCTGAAAAACCCAAAGGTCACAAATCAAAATCCAACCTTAAAAGAATCAAATTTTCCTTTGATCATCATAGTAAAAACAAAAAGAAATATGATAAATCTAAACAAAAATATTAAAGACTATTTCAATTTTCATAGCATATCCATAAAATAATCAAAATTTCCTCTGATTAAGGTTTAATAAAACAAAACAAAACAAAAAGAAGACTATTTCAAATCTCAACCTTAAAAGAATCAAAGTATCTTTGTTCATTCTCTAACCAAAAAAGACCAAAAAAGAAAGTTAATTTCAAATCACAAAACTAAAAGAATCAAACTTTCATTTGATTAGGTATAATAAAACAAGACAAAACAACTTTTTTACTAAATTCACAAAAAAGAAGACTATTTCCAAATCACAACCTTAAAAGAATCAAAGTATCTTTGTTCATGGTCTAACAAAACAAGACCAAAAAAGACAATCAAACATTAAAAGAATCAAACTTTCATTTGATTAAGGTATAACAAAACAGAATAAAACAAAAAAAAACATTTATATATAGAAAATCATAAAAGAAGGTGGAAATTAAATGAAAGATTAACAAACTAATTAACAAACTAATTAATAATTACCAGTATTAGTAGGAACAGCTTTCCAATTTCCAGGACCATGTTCTTGAACATAAGAAACCAAAATGATGTCTTCTTCAGGAGTCCAAGGACCTTTCTTCACACCTTCTTTATCACAACATGGTGGTCTCACCATTGTTTTACCTTGACTACCCTTTTTCTCTTTTCTCAAAAAAATTAAACTTTCTTCACAAATATAGCTTTTTATTTTTTCCTCTTACTTGTTAACTTAGGAATTGTTAAGACAAGAGTCAAAATGGAAGGGTGTATAAATAGGGAAAGAAAGGGTGCAAATAGTCAAAAGTTGAAAGCAAAAGCATTAACTGTTGTCATAAGGTGTAAGAAGAAAATGGAAAAAGTCAGCTCAAAATGGAGTAATAAGCTGTTTTGTGAGTCTCAAAACCGCGTTGTGCATTCAATGTGACTGCACTGGGAAACCTCAAGTGGTGTAGCACTTTTTTTAAGTCTTCAAAAATTTTTAAGCTAGCATTTATGATTATGTGTGTGAGATCAAAGGTGTTGCATGTTGGTGATTTTAGCCAACCCAAAAGTTTATTTTTTATTTTTTCTTATTTTGGATGCTTGTGATTAGTTGTTGAGCTCATCATGGATTTTTAAATAAAGGGAGAAGTTTGATTTTCATTCCTCACAAGAAATGATGTAAGAAAAAAAATACTATTTTTATTCTTTGATGAAAATAAACTAGAATAATTGGTAAGTTGGATTAAATTTCTATTTGTTAAAGGATTGTGTAAAGAAAATAATATTTAATGTGTATACACCGACTGTGAGTAAATGATTTATAGGTTTAGATATTTTGTAAATATATTATTTTATGTTTTAGTTTACATTTTTTTTCTTCTTTTGTTTTAGATTTTATAAAATTGATTTATATTAAAATTGATCTCTATAATATTAAAGAGATTAAAATTAAATATTTCATATATTATAGAAATTAATTTGAATATAAATCAATTTTGCAATAGCTAAAGAAACAAATTAAAAATTATTTGCAATAATCAAAATCAAATAAATTATTTTTATAAGGACTATAGAAAAAGGTAGTAGTATAGATGAAAAGACCAATTGCTTTTATATATATATATATATATATATATATATATATATATATATATATATATATATATATATATATATATATATATATATATATATATATATATATATATATATATATATATATATATATATATATATATATATATATATATATATATATATATATATATATATATATATATATATATATATATATATATATCAAACCAAATTACTTGAATATAACACTTTGTTATATTTAATCTTCAAATATTTTTATAAATAATACGTTTAACATTATTTGATTGAATTCATATTACAAAATTTTTGCACCATCAATGCATTAATTAATTTCAAGAAAAAAATATTATTCAAAACAATAAGATAAATTGTCGATGAATTTGCAAAACACTCAGAATAAAAAAGAAAAAGAGAGAAAGAAGGATTGAGAGTGCCTTTTATCTTTAATTAAGATATTAAGTATATAGTTCACTTATATTCAAATAGTTGAAGGAGAGAAAAACCCTCTCTCATCTCTCTCCTTTTTATTTGTCGTCGATCCTTTTTTTTCCTCATTTCTTTCGTGCCAAAACTTTATTGTAACCATGTAGAATCATGATGAGGTGGTGCAACGTTCTCAAACCGCACCACTCTCTAACCTATCACAAGTTGTCGTTTTCACCTTTGTTGTCAATGATGAGTTTTTTTTCACATCAGCTTTACTCTTCAGTGACCGACGCGTTCAATGTTTCATCGTACTAGCAGGTTTAATTTACAGTTATTGTAGTATCTCATTTAGATTGATTTTGGAATGTTTGGCTCGAAATGACCGTTATTATTTACTTTCGATCTTCTATTGTTCAAATATGTTTGGGCTCATCTATGATTTAATGCTCGCAAGTCCTGTTCGATTTGATCTTTTGGGATGATTCAAAGTTGGTGCGAGTTGCTACTGGTTTTTGTGTTTTGGGTTTACTGTGAAACATTTTGGGTTGAGTTTGTGATGCTTAAATTTGTTTCTCATGTGGCCATGGGCTTATCGACTCAATATGGCGCATTTGGTTCTAGAGTTTAAGTAGCTGCGAGATTTGGTTCTAATGGGGTTGATTCCTTGGGTTCGGTCTCGAATCCTCAAACGATTTTGCGAGAAATAGTTGTGCTTGCTTGCTGATAGTAACTAATACTACAGGAAAATGTTCATTTTGCCTAGTGATTTAGTGACGTGGTAAACACGTGGGAAAAAAAATATGTTGTCAAGTGATTTCCACGTCACTAAATTATTTTAATAATAAATTATGTAGACCTAAAATCTGCAACAAAAAATTGGAATTTTAAGAGAAAGGGAAGTTTGAATTTTTAAAAAATTCAATTGTGGTGTGTAAAACACATGAGAACTGAAAATTTAAAAAAATCCCTTTTATTTTCTTCGTGAGTAACATGTCACAAAATACCCACATGTCATTCACGTCCCAAAACTGCAAATAGTAAATCTCTCAGTTTTTCTTTACCTTTTCAGACACATTGGTTGTTGGAATTGAATGTGACAAATTTGTGAAGTGGTTCCCACGTCACAACACACTGCCATAATTGTTCTTACTGTTGCGTTGTCATTGTGTGAGAGCAACGAATATATTTTAATTTATGGGGAAAGTTCCGACGTGGCCTGCACGTGGCAACATTCCCACAGGTATTTCACGTCGCAAACGGTGAATATGGTTGTTCGTTCCGACGTGGGAATCACATGGGTACCTTCCCACGTGTTCACGACGTCGCAATTGTCCCTATATATTAATTCACCAGAATTTCCTTCAGCCACATATCTCGTTTCATCTTCTTTGCTTCATCATTTCTTCCTTCTTCCCTCATTCTTCCATTACTCACTACGCCAGAATTGATTTTTAGCAGCGCACAAAAGACAGCGCTTTTAAAAAAAGCGCTGCTAAATAGTCAGTAAAAAAAAAAGAAAAAAATTACCTACCAAAGATAGCGCTTTTTTAAAAAGCGCTGCTAAAAGGGTACCCTTAGAAAGCGCTTTTAAAAAGCGCTGCTAAAAGGGGACCCTTAGAAAGCGCTTTTTAAAAGCGCTGCTAAAAAGGGACCCTACGAGAGCGCTTTTTCTATAAAGTGCTGCTATATGTCATTGTTATGGCACCCTATGAAAGCGCTTTTTAAAGCGCTGCTAAAGGCCTTTAAAAAGCGCTGCTAAAGGTATTAGTATAATAATTTTTATATACCCTCCAGAATTGTAAACGAAACAGAACACGCGTTTTTTCGTTTTCTTCTTCGTTTCTTCATTTCTCCATTGCCCTATCTTCCATTTTCGCCCTCCGTTGAAGCTTTCGTCGCCGTCCGTTTGCGCCGCCGTCTTCCATTTGTTTTCGCCGCCGTTCGCCGTTCCCTTTCGCCGCCGTTCACCGTTCGTTCTCCTCCACCGTTACGGTAAATCCGCGACTGTTACGACATTTTTATGGATTATTGTCTTAGTATTGCATTTTTCTGGATTAGATGATGTTAGTGCTACTTCTTTCTGAGTTATTGACTTGTTTTTGTTGATACCATTGATGAGCATTACTCTTTTGATATTGGCTTGAGTTTTGTATGCAAGGTGTTTGTTGAAATGCCACAATGAATTTTGAGCATTATAAATTAGTTTAGAATAATTTAGTCCATTACCAAATTTTTTGAGAGTATGCTTTAATAATTTAGAATAGTTTAAAATCATATTAATGCAATAGTTTAGAATAGTTTAGAATAATTTAGTCCATTTCCACCATTTTTGAGAGTATGATTTAATAGTTTAGAATAGTTTAAAATCATATTAATGAAATAGTTTAGAATAGTTTAGAATAATTTAGTCCATTCCCACCATTTATGAGAGTATGCTTTAATTTAGTCCATGTCATTTTGAGCATTATAAAATAGTTTAGAATAGTTTAAAATCATATTAATGAAAGTATGCTTTAATAGTAGAATAGTTTATTATAGTATATCTACTTTTTTTTAATATGATTTGTTTTGTTGGATTATCTAGTTTTTTTGTTTTGGTTAATTATTAATATGATTTTAATAAAATGTATATATTGTCTGTTATAGGGGTTACCTGAGAAGAGAAAGGTTGTGATTGTTTCCAAGCATCCTACTGTACAACTTTCTTAGAAGTAGTGATTTCTTTACAGGTATTCTCTGTTTTTGCCTAACTTTCATAGTATGGATAAAAATTGGATGTCTGTTAATCGATTGTCAAAAGAGTACGAGAATGGGGTATCGAACTTCGTTAAGTTTGCTGTTGAACACGCCAAAGACCCCAGTAGGATCATATGTCCTTGCTTAGGTTGCTGTTATGGGTGTCGAATTGACGCGGTTCAGTTGGAATCTCATTTAATGAGACATGGAATTGATTGAAGTTACACATGTTGGACATTACACGGTGAGATAAGTAACGAGAATGTTGAACCCCAGAACAATACGACCTCTACTTCAAAGGACAATGGTAGGGATACATACGATTATGATCGAGTCGAAGATATTGCAGAAGCACTTGAAGAAGATCTTAAAGATTGTCCAAAGATGTTTGAGAGGTTGGTAAGCGATGCAGAGAAGCCGTTGTATAAAGGTTGCACTACTTTCACAAGATTGTCTGTGGTATTAAAGTTGTACAACTTAAAGGCGGGTAATGGATGGTCGGATAAAAGTTTCACAGAGTTGTTAGCCCTACTTCAAGAGATGCTTCCGGAGGATAATGTTCTTCCCAATCGAACCTATGAAGCTAAAAAAATGTTATGCTCTATTGGTATGAGCTATGATAAGATACATGCTTGTCCAAATGATTGCATTTTGTTTCGAAATGAGTATGCATCATTAAACGAGTGTCCTAAATGCGGTGTATCTCGGTATAAGAAGAAGTTGTCACCAGCAAAAGTCTTATGGTATTTTCCTATAATTCCGAGATTCAGACGGATGTTTCGTAGTGAAACAGATGCGAAACACCTTACTTGGCATGCAGATGATAGAATTATAGATGGGAAGTATCGACATCCGGCAGATTCACCACAGTGGATGAAAATTGATAATGATTAT